TGCAGAGTCTGAGATTTCAAAAAACCTAAAACACTTTTGGAAATACTTTAAACATAAAAAGAAAGGTGAGTCATCTCTACCCTCGTCCATGAAATTGGATAACAAAGTTGCAAAGTCTGGAACGGAAATAGCCAATCTTTTTGCAAACCACTTCACATCCATTTACACCGAAACAACTAATATCATGACGGCAGACTTTAAACAAAAAAGCAATGTTACGCAATTGAGTAAGTTAAAGATTTCTGAAACAGATATCGTAAAAATAATTAAAACTTTAGATACTCAAAAAGGTTGATCACTAGCAACTCATTAACAAACTTTCTCTGTATGGTATTGGTCCCTCCTTGTTTGGATGGATTAGCTCTTATCTTGAGAATAGATCCCAAATTGTTGTTGTCAATGGTTTCGAGTCTCAAATGTATCGAGCTCAATCCGGGTGCCTCAAGGTTCGCATCTGGGCCCTCTATTATTCTTGGCTTTTATTAACGACATCACTACAGAAATCAAAAATTGTCGTTGCTCGTTATTTGCTGATGATTTAAAAGTTTATAAACCAGTAAAATCAGTAGAGGATATAAAGCCCATCAGGTGTGAGGTCAATAGTATGACTCTTAATGCTAAAAAATGCTTCCACGTAAAATACAACAGGAAAAAAAACCACTTGTCTCTAGTTACTCAGTTGGTAATGTAGTTTTGCAAGAGTTACCGGAGATTAAAGACTTAGGAGTAACTATTGACAGAAAGCTAACCTTGAATTCGCTAGTGTCATATGGAATCCATCTTTTAGTGTGCACTCCCAACGCGTCGAAAGTGTACAGCGTGCCTTCACTCGACATCTTGCCTTCCATGCCAGTCGTATCTCACATAGGCAGCCTTACTATCAGCGACTAAGTTTAAGATAATGTCTCTCCGAAATAGACGAGACATTCTAGATCTGTGTTTTCTACATAAAATAGTACACGGGTACGGTACACGTATTAGACGGGATGACGAATCGTATTAAGCGTGTAAAAAATGTATGAAAACATGCCTCAAGTTGCAGGGACTGACATAAAATGGCGTATTAAACGGGAAATCGTATTAAACGTGATCGTATTAAGCGAGTTTTACTGTATGTATATTATAAGTGTACTTGTTAAATAAATAAATAAACTAATGAAATGAAGCAAACTGATATTTTTGTTTAATTTTGTGACTCGCAACTCTTTTTTGCTTTTTTCTAATTTTTATGGATATGAACGACTACTAATTTTGGCCATAAAACTATTTTAAAAACAATGGTTTTATGACCGAAATTAGTTTGCATTGTTTACTAAAAATTTTATTGGCAAAGTACACGTAGGTACAGTTCAAACCAGTATAATACTTGAATGTTCACTTATCGCTTAACGACTTTAAGCCCTACACACCAGTAATAGAGTTATCAATTTACCTTTTTCTGCCGACTTATGACAGTTTATAATGGTCAAACAACTCACTCCCTCCGTCTTGCGAAAGCGCGACAGAACATTCTAAATAGTGAGGTGCGAAAGAGACGTCTGTACTTGTGTGGACTTTCCGAAATCTTAAATTGGCTTTGGAGTGGCCGGCCGTGCGTCCCGGCCGAGGTATAATAAAAAGTAGCGTGCGCGGCTTGCGACACAGATGTTAGATAGAAAAAGTTAAGGCCTTAACAGTGGTTGAAATGCCTAAATCTAGGATATTTAAGTAAAAAAATCTCAATAACTGTTCATTTAATCCACAAAGAAAAAATACAGGGTAACAGAAGAAGATTTGGTAAATGTTTTTAATTTAACAAAATTGTATTTTTGTCAACCACTTATTAGAAAAAAAAATCCCCAAAGAGTACTTATCTTTGTCATATTTTGCAAAATTTCTCCAAAACGGCACAAGCTATTTAAATAGTTCTTACACTAAAAAAAAGGTCTTAAAAATATTAATATTTTTAATTGAGAGTTTTATTTTGATTACCCGTTTTATAAGTGAATATATCATTTTTCCCTGAAATTGAATATATTTACGCGAGTGCGCATGCTCCGTAGCCATGTAAGCTCTGTCACAGTCCGTTTTCGAACATCGTCGAGGGTGGACCGCACGTCGGTGTTGGAGCGACTTCGTTCAAATATATATTAGTTTTTTAAAAGTTTATACTCAATTATAAATATTTTTATGACTAGAAATACTTAATTTAGTTAATATCTGTATACTGGTAACTGTAAATATTATTTTCTAAATAAATGAATTTTTAAAGTGCCCAAAGAAGAATAAATTTTTGCGGCGACGTTGATTAGTGAAATTGAAAAATGCATTTTTATATAATTTAGATGTGGAACGACGAACATGCTCTCGTTATTTAGATTTCGATAGTTTTTAATACCTATGTAATTTTATAGTTGCATATTTTTATTAATTAGTTGATACTGAATTTTATAATTATGTATTACAATAAAACGCTGTTTATATAAGTATGACTTTATAAAATATTATTGGGGAGGGAAATATAGGTAAAGATACTAACATTTAGGTACACTGTTATCAAATTAAATCAAAAAATTTAAATAAATAAAAAAATGGTGTTTCCCAAAGTATAAATACCTTTATAAAGATATTCTTGGGTTTATGGTTTTTTTTTATGTTAGACAAACTATCATCTAAAAAATGTTAAAATTATTAAATGTTAAAAAATGTTAAATGGTAAATATTCTCATACGCTTTTCTTCACACATACACATACACACACACACACACACACACACACACACACACACACACAAATAGGTTGCAAATAATACTTACCTAGTACTATTAGGCAAGAGTGAATTGGTTTTTGTTAAGTCAGTGCAATTCACCATCTTAGGCTACATAACCACTTACCGATGGCATTGTAGTTGCTTTACTACTTGCTGGGTAAAAATAGTAAAAAAAATGTACCCTGTGAAAGTTTGCATTTAGATTTTAGATATAATTTTTCTAACCAACCATAAAAATATGATGAGAATATGTATATAAGTATAAAGGTTGCCTCACACGGGACAGTAATAATATAATATTATATCTTGCATTATCTACGCATGAAAACTTTTAAAATTTCTAAATCCCGAGGTATGTTCATATTAATAGGCTGAATAGACCCACTTTGAAATGCATGGGGATCGTTTTGTAATTTCACGTCATTATCCAAAAAAATTGTTCGTATTTCAGGTGGCGGTTTGCAAAACACGATTCCAAAAAAATTAACTCAATAGAAAATAATTGCAAAGTTGCTTCTAAAAATACTTAAATTTCCAACGTCAATTTTTTTTACGTGGTAGAGCCATGCTGCAACTATATTAGTAGTAGGTATAGTTGTAGCACGAATGGGCCGGCTCGACCGGGGAAGGGCCACGCTCTCGCGGAATAACATGTAAAATAGCAGTTTAACCCTGCTGTGTTTCGTATGGTGAGTGTAGAGAACCGGAGAACCTTTTTACTGGAAACGAGGCATTACACCTTAGTCCTCACGGGTGACAACTCATCTACATTTTGATACGTAATCGAGGATAAATGTAGATGTCTATGGGCCACAGAAACCACTTACCATCAGGTGGACTGTGTGCTCGTTTGTCACCCTTATCCTATAAAAAAAACCCTGATGAACCTATAAATGTATATATTATTAATAAATAGTTCCCATAATATTTTGGATTATTTTTTATTTTGCCCTATCTGCAATGTTCTACGCTCTATAGAAAATGTGGCGTATGACATGACTGACAATCTTTTGAACGTTGTATCTAGGTACAAAGATGTTTTACGTTTTCGTCGCCTCCACATGATATTTTTGTCAACATAAGGTACCCTTCTATATCTGAAACGAATATAAATATTGCTACAAAGTGAAGTAATAGGCTATACAAATCCCTCTACTGGGCACAGGACTCTTTTTTTAATTTCTGAGAGGGTTTTAGGGCAAGGAAATGCCCGCCGTGCTTCCCCAACGCGTGTTGACGAAAATTGCAATTACGAATTTCATTCGTGCTGTCGGGGATCAAACCCGGGAAAATTTACAGCGAACGCTTTGACGACATATTTTTAATACGACACAAATAAATACGATTTAACATATATAATAAAAATTCTTACGTACTTGAAACTTGAACACTTGATAGCTCGTGATGCCTACCGGACAAAGCTACAGCACCACACCGTGCAATGTAATTGAAGATGCGTAATCGCGACATAATTCTCAGTGATGCGCAAGCATAACAGGCAGTATGTCACTTATATAATTGTCATCTCTATAGTCTATTAATCTTTGCACTTTTATAAGTAATACAGAACGTAGTTGCTAGACGGTGTTGACATCGGCTAAAATCTCTGCGATCGCAGTTTCGTCAAGGTCATTCAGGCTAGTTAGAGCCTTAAAAGACGCCGTGAGTGAATGAGTTGTAAAGATACACTGATACATCCGGATGCGGATGGATATAAAGAGTGATAGATGGAAAGGGATTGACATATCTTTTGTATCTAACTCTCCTGAGTTACCCATCTCTAGGTAAATCGACTGTTGAATCACGCATATTGACAACTTCGTAGCCTGTGGCCTAGTATTTTGCTGCAGGCTGCAGTTTAGATTCCCACACCGAAGAAATTATTTTTTAATTATGCAATTTATGTATTTTTAGCGTAAAATCTAGAAACCTTAGTAGCTCTAGGGTTGAATATGAAGAAGCACGCCAACAAACTGAGTGCGTCCCTGGCGACATAAATGAAATTGTTAATTGCTATTTTTTGTGCAATTTTTCTTCTATTCTTCCTTAAAATTTTTGGGACGAAATATATGTATTAGATATTGACAGAAAATATTTCAAATACATTTGATCTCCACACGCAATGAGGCAGCGCGGTGGACTTCTCCCCGGCTCAAAATCTTTCGTCTCCAAAGAGAGGAGGAACCCTTTTATTCCTTTTTACTAATAAAATGTACCTATATTAACTTCTCCTTTTATTTTCTTCCCCAGAATGCGAACACGTAATTTAGTACAACGAGATAATACGCTAGAAGTCACTTGCTCTGTAAAAGGCGAAATAAATGAGACGAGCCCCGAGTTTTCGATTAGCGGGTGCGCTACCTTCCAATTGAAGGCAGTCTCTTCTAACAACTGTGGGTGTGGTAACAGCTATTTGTACGAAAATATGATCCTTGTAAGGTTTTTTAAAAACTGTCAAAAAGACGACTTGTCCTACTCCATAACTTTATCTAGTAAAAAACTATGCATTGTAGAAAAAAGCTTTCTGTCTGACGACGGTACTTGGCATTTGATTAAGGAGAATTATGCAGAATCAGCGTTTGACATCTCGGTCGTCATGAATACAGTACACGTCAGCACATTCGAAGTACTTCACGATGATACTAATCTAACCGACTTTGAGCTTCGCGGAGAGGATGGATCGGTGAAAATTCATAAAGCAATCCTTGCAGCTTGTAGTCCCACATTCAGGACGATGTTCTGCGGCAGCTGGCGAGAGACTACAGAAGGTCACGTCAACGTCGCAGGCACTTCGGCACTGACGTTGCGACACCTAAAAGATTACATATATTTGGGCACGCTGCCCGATACTGGCCTTGAGCAGATCTTGCTTCTTGCTTTGTATTACATGATACCAGATTTAGAGCAGAAATGTGTAAATAAATTGGTGGATAGCTTGACAGCGCAGAACGCGTACGACCTGCTAGAGTTCGCGGTGAAACACAAAGTCACCAGGCTTGTTCTAGCCATTCTTGACTGCGTCCGGGGTGGAAAGGTGGAAGTTAATGATATGCGCCAATACTTGTTGAATTGTTAAAATTATAATTGTGAATAATGTTTATGATCCACGTTATTTGCGTATATTATGAACCCAACTAAACGGCTGTTGTTACTCAAACCTGCCTATGCGATCTATCAGTTCCAGTATGAACACATTTAGCTAATGATTTCTTATATTAACGCAAATACTACACATAGAATAAAACTGATGGATTTTATTGTGTTTATAACTAAACTTGAATGTCTCAGGCGTATCCAGTGGTGCTCGAAACGTTGCGTTATGATTAAAAGATAATATCCGTAAAATAAGTTTCATTCAAGATAACTTTAATTATCATTTTGTGCTCAACTACTTAATTAAATATTACTGAATACTATAGTTATTTTGTTTATTTTTGAACTTATTACTTTGTATAGACGTCCTTTCCTTGTCACATTTTATTATCTTCGATTCACATTTAATTTGAATGGCACAGTTCCTCGAGTTCTTATTATTCTGTTTTAGAATTTTTGCACATTTATTATCGTCCTTGAAACGATGTTGTAAAAAGATTAATACGAATGGTTGTCAAAGAACAAGCGTGTCACAAACTACGCAGGTACGATAATATACTAAGTGATACATTCACCACAGATTAACTAGTAGATTCTACCTGAATCAGACGGACATCGCACGAACTGAACTTACTCGACTTAGCTTCTGCGTCCTGATTGGTTGTAGCAAAATGATGTATGACAGTTCTTTTTTTCTTAATTTAAAGCAGCTATACCAGGCAAAGGTCGCCCCAAATAATAGCCACTTGAAAAATTAATTTTATTATCATCATCATCATCATCACTACAGCCCTTCACAAGTCCACTGCTGAACATAGGCCTCCCCCAAAGAATGCCACAAAGCACGGTCCTGAGCCACCTGCATCCATTGACTTCCTGCATGTCTTACCAGGTCGTCACTCCATCTCGTGGGGGGACGCCCTACACTTCGCCTACCGGTACGAGGCTGCCACTCGAGAACCTTTCTTCCCCATCGGTTGTCGGTTCTTCGAGCAATATGGCCGGCCCACTGCCACTTCAGCTTACTAATTCGTTGGGCTATGTCGGTTATTCCGGTTCTACTGCGGATATCCTCATTCCTAAGTTTATCACGCAGAGAAATTCCGAGCATAGCCCTCTCCATAGCTCGCTGAGCGACCTTGAGCTTCCTTATACGGCCAGCAGTGAAGGACCACGTCTCAGTTCCGTAAGTCATCACTGGCAACACGCACTGGTTGTACAATTTCGTTTTAAGGTTTTGAGGTATGTCTGACGAGAAGATGTGTCGTAGCTTCCCGAACGCTGCCCAGCCGAGTTGAATCCGTCGATTGACCTCTCGGTCGAAGTTGGACTTACCTAGTCGGACTATTTGTCCCAGGTAAACATACTCGTCAACAACTTCGAGCTTAGTGCTCCCAACAACTACCGGCATAGGTGTGACATGGACATTAAACATGATCCTTGTTTTGTCCATGTTCATCTTAAGACCTATCCGTTGGGAAACACTATTGAGGTCGTTGAGCATAGTGCTTAGGCCCTCCAGCGATTCTGCCATAAGGACTATATCGTCGGCAAATCGAAGGTGAGTGATGTACTCGCCATTGATGTTGATACCGTATCCTTTCCAGTCCAGAAGCTTGAAAACGTCTTCCAATGCAGCGGTGAAGAGTTTCGGGGATATGACGTCACCCTGTCTTACACCTCTCTGCAATTGGATAGGTTTCGTACTCTGGTTCTGTACTGGGATAGCCATCGTAGCCCTACTGTACAAGCACTTCAACACTTCGATATACCGACAGTCAATTTGGCACCGCTGAAGGGACTGCAGCACCGCCCAAATTTCGACGGAATCAAAGGCTTTCTCATAGTCCACATACGCCAGACATAGTGGCAAATTGTACTCTTCGGACGTCTGTACAACTTGCCGAAGGGTATGTATGTGGTCTATGGTGCTAAAGCCCTTTCGGAAACCGGCTTGTTCGGGAGGCTGGAAGTCGTCAAGTCTGCGCGCGAGACGTAATGACTCTCGAAAACAGCACGTAGACGCGGCTCAGAAGGGAAATGGGTCTGTAGTTCTTCAAGAGAGCGTTGTCACCTTTCTTGAAGAACAAGACCACCGCACTTCTGCTCCACGCCTCCGGTGTAATGCCACCATGGAGGACGGAATTAAAGAGCTTCTGAAGGACTTCAAGTATCGGTCTTCCACCCGCTTTCAGAAGCTCCGCTGTAATTCCATCCTCGCCTGGGGCCTTACCGTTTTTAAGGTGCTGGAGAGCCATTCTAACCTCGCTCAGACTGACGTCCGGAATATCTTCAGAATAGTGTCGGATGAGACTCGCTCTTGGATCGTTACTCACACTTGCGTGTGGCTCCAACGATGACGTGTACAGCTGCCCATAGAACCTCTCAATCTCACTCAAAATCTCAGGTGTCCCGGAAACGATGCTGATACATTCCGTCTTCAGCTTTGACAGTTGGCTCTTTCTGACAGGCAGATCTCTGGCAAAGACTTTGGAGCCTTGGTTCCGCTCTATCGCTTCTTCAATACAAGCTGTATTGAAGTTGCGTAAGTCCCGCCGCATGCATTTGGAGATCTGCCTGTTCAGATGCCTGTATGCTGTCAAGTCTGTTGAAGAATGTAGCTTCATCTCCCGTCTAACAGCCATGAGATTAAGAGTGTGATCGGAGAGTTTTTGTGTTCTTCTGCGGCGGGTCTTGCAGAACTTAGCTCCGACCGCATGGACAGTTTCCACGAGCTTGTCATTTATATCGTCCACTTCATTGCAGTCTTCTAGGCACTGAAAACGGTTTTGTAACTCGAGCTGAAAGGTTTCGGGACTTTGGTTTAGAGCACGAGGGGGACGGAGCGTTGACTTCATTAGACGAGACCTCTCCAACTTAACGTTTAGGTTCAGTGTGCCTCTAACCATTCGGTGATCGCTACCAGTTTTCACCCTCGCGATCACGGAGACATCACTGAACAGTTGTCGTCTGGTCGTCATAATGAAGTCAATCTCATTTTTTGTCGAACCGTCGGGGCTCGACCAGGTCCACTTCCTGTGGGGCCGCTTCTGGAAGAAAGAGTTCATCATAAAGAGTCCCTCTTTCGTTGCCCTATTCCAAATTTCCCTACTTTCAGCTCACCGTTCCCTCTTGTGCCTAGTTTTGCATTGAAGTCTCCCATTAACACCGTATATTGGGTTTTGGAGGAATGCATGGCTCTAGAGATATCCTCATATATTTCCTCCACCTCCTGATCGGGGTGTGCCGAGGTTGGTGCGTAAACCTGTATGACCTTCAGCGAATACCGTTTGGTGATTCTGAGTATAAGGTACGCAACCCTCGTCGACACACTCCCGATCTTTACAACGTTGTTAACGAGAGACTTGTGGACGATAAATCCGACACCTCCTTGGGACAGTGTAGTGTTATGTATGCTACTTACTTATCATTTTACATTATTTTAAATTCATTTTTCCATTCTGTTTCGATTTTCTGCATTCACCTCAAAACTGGATATTTTACATCACCTTTATTTCCATAGGATCCTGTAACGATTTTAAACCATAAGAACACAATAACAAATCATTTCTACTTCGTATTTTCACATTATCAGCACTTTTAAATTGGTGTCAATGGAGTCTACCTTTTTTCGATCTTTTATTTAGTTTTCCGTAACTCTGCAATTTCGGGCTTTGTGCGTGCAGTTGCGCTACCTTTTTTCCTATATCAATAATATCTCATTTTTCACTTAAATCTTGCCGTTTTTCTATTACAAGCCTAAAACCAAAATTTGACATGTTTTGACATCGTTGTTTATTTGGTCGCTATGACAATTATATTCAAATTTGCTACCGGTCTGTTGTTTCTATTTCGATAATTCCACATAAATACTCTTTCCTCTTGACCATTTACAAAAAAATTGCGTTTAATTTAAATAATTTTTCCGTTCTCTCTAGAAAGGTATAAAAGCCGAACAATCGGTGAAGAAATTCAGTCTCGCTTCAGTTCTCGAGTTCGAAGCATCTCCTAAAGGCCTTATCCCGGGGCCGCACTGCCCCGGGATCCTACAAGCCTTTGCTCTGCCTGAAGTCGCCGGGATCCTACAAGTCTCTGCTCTGCCTGGAGTCGCCGGAACCTGCAAACCTCTGTTCCGCCTGAAGTCACCGGAACCTGCAAACCTCTGTCCCGCCTGAAGTCACCGGATCCTGCAGGCCTCTGTCCTGTCTGAAGTCGCTGAGGATCCTGCAAGCCCTTGTCTGGCCTGAAATCGCCGGATCCTGCAATCACCGCATTCACCTGAGGTCGTCGCCTAGAGACGCCCACGCCTTCTCACCTACGCCGTGCGTGCTCGTTCCAGGCGCTGAGAGCACACTTTGGATCTTCAGACTCAACTTCGACTCTAATCCTTTTTTTTATTACCTTTTTTTTAAAAAAATTTGTAAATCACGACATCCATCCTCATCTTCATACCCCATTTTACTATATAAAATTGTAAATATCTTTTAAATCTTAAATATATTATTTGTTTTTGTAGTATTTTTGTTGTTTTGTTGCTGTTAGGTTAGATTCTTTTATTTTTAATTGTCGCTTCACGACAACAGATGGTCGCCTTCCCGGTGATAGAGCAAGTTGCCGGATTCGAGGATTACCGTGTCCTCCCCCTCTCTTCGGTCTTCGGATAATCCTATAATATGCCAGCGCAACTTGTCTATCTCTTCTTCCAGCTCCACGATCTTCTCGTCAGTCCTCAGGGTGCGTGCGTTGTACGTTGCCAGGTCGAGTCGTCTAAGGTGGCAACCGAACCTCCACCGGAGATTCTTAGCACCCCCTGACCCCCTGCCCCGCCGTTACCATGGTCGCCACCGTAGCCAGGAATAGCGGGGCCGCCGGGGACTGGGGGCCGTCTGTTTGTTGCTTTAGTCATTGGGGGGTATTTGCCATAGTTGCCACGCTTAGCGAGCGGGTTGGCAACCGCAGTTTTTTATTATAATTTTGGCTATT